ATTTCAAATCAATAAAATCTCACTATGGCACGCTCATAAAATAAAAAAAATAAAAAATAATAATCATCTAAATTTTCAAATTACAAACATAAATAGCAATAGTAAAAAGCAAATACAAAATAACGCTATCAAAATTGCTCATTTTCTTAAATATCAACAACTAAATAGTATTTCAACTAAACCATAATTAAACAAGAGTTTGCCCGATGCCCAAAAAAATTCAAAATTATCTATGAAAAATATGAGCGCATTGTGACGCAACCGTATCATTTGTATTCGAACAGCAACCGCATCATTTGTATTCGCATCGTTCGTATTCGTATAGCAACCGCATCATTCGTACTCGAATAAACCGCATCGTACGACATGCGAGTAACGAAATGAATTTGTGAGTACCGAATCGGTACTTCGAGTCAACCGATGTACCCGTTACTCAGTGACGAATACATGCGGTTTGCTCCAGCTCTATTAGCTCGCGGTCTAAAGTAAGTGTTGTCAGGATGTTTTCAAAACAAGAACAACGATGTTGGATAAAAATTGAATGTGCCAGAGGTCGTACAGCACGACAGTGTCATCAAGGGCTTCAAGAGGCTTGCGGAGAATCTGCATTGCCTTACAGAACCGTAGCAAAATGGGTGAAAGCATTCAATGAAGGATGCCAAAACGTGGCAGACATGCTGCGGCCAGGTCGTCCGAGTGTCAGCGATGCAGACGTGCAAGCTCTTGCCGCACTAATGGACAGCGATCGCCACCAAACGATTCGTCAGCTGGGCGGACAAACAGGATTAGCACATACGACTGTGCTGCACATTCTGAAGGAACGCCTGTCAATGAGAAAAATTGCTTCACGATGGTTTCCACATCAATTGACGGAAATGCAGAAATGGCTGCGATACGATGCTGCCCGAACCCACCTGGAGCGCTATGAGCGCGAAGGAGATGCTTTTTTACTCCGTATCATTACGCTGGATGAGACTTGGGCCCGATCGTGCCAGCCAGAACTGAAACGCCAATCAAATGAATGGCGTCATCACGGGTCACACGACGTTCGAAATTTCGTCAGAACCCCAACAATGTGAAAGTTATGGTGATTCTCGTGTACGACTGTGATGGTGTCATCCTAACGCATACTATTCCCCCACAGCAGACCGTCATTGCGCAGTATTAATGCTCATTTTTGGAGCACAATCTCCGACCAGCTTTGAGAAAAAACGGCAACACTTTCTGCAGAACGCTCCTCTCATTTTGCATGACAATGCTCGGCCGCATGCAGCGCAAGCTGTGACTGATTTGTTCAAGCGATGGGGCTGGAAAGTGCTTTACCATCCACCGTACAACCCCAGATCTAAGCCCTTGTGACTATGACTTAATTCCTAAGATGAAGGAACCACTTTGTGGCATTCGCTTCCAAACTGTTTCTGAGATTTTTGCGGCAGTAGACCGGTCCATTCAAACTATCAACAAAACAGGCGCTACTACAGGTATTCTGCGACTTCCACATTGTTGGAAACGGGTTGTACACAATGCTGGCGACTATATTGAAGGACTGTAAAACATGGTGACATGAATCACTTTTGTATTCCTTGTAAATAAATAGTTGCCACTATTAAAGTTCCAACCCTCTTATTTAACTGACAATGAAATATGCCAATCTCTTAAAAACAGCGACATAAGAAATACGATGAAAAATTGTTGCCAAACCCATATTTCAAAAAGAATGAAACTATTCAAAATGATGCGATTTCATCAAAAATCTATCAAAAACAATAAGAAAGGAAAATTGTTGCCAAAATCACATTTTTAAAGATGTGAGATGTGAGAAGTGTAATCGAAAGCTTCATTTAAAAATTTTTTAAAAAATAAAAAATATCATTTTCCAAAATTCTTTTTGTAAAAGCAGTCGCAAGGATAAAAGTTTAACGTGTCCAAAAATCAAAGAAAAATAAACCGTACATTTTTAAAAATAAACTTTTCTTAGAAAAACTGCCGTTGAAAAGGTGTTGAGCTCACTTTGTTAAATAAACTCGTATTTAATCGATTTATTGAAACACGAAATTTTTAGTTCGTAAAATAGCTAAGTGCCTACGTTTCATGACGATGTGAAAATGGAGTATGTAGAGTAAAATCTCGCTTTCCTATAGCCCATTATGTCTCAGAATGACGCGATTTCGTCACAAAACATAAAATAAAAATAATTCGAAATCAAATTTCGAAAAAATCGCTTTGAGGTGCATTGGCTCTTGTCTAGATGCACCCAAGGTTCTGGATGCACCTATGTAACCAATTTCGTAGCCGTGGGTCTATTAGCTTACGCGCAGCGCGAACGAAAGACACACACAGACAGACTCTTTCTTTTATTATATGTAGAGATTTCAAAATATTGTAAAACTTAATAAACTCTTTGGGCGACTTAACGATAATTTCCGATACTTAGCCACAAAAGTGTTATCAGTATCAAAATGGGATTTTGCATCAGTTGGTTATAAACGGGGTATCACTTTTCGATTTTATTAAGCAGTTCGGACGTCTCTTTTGTACATTCGGGACTAAAGCCCCGAATGAGATTAGTCTCGAAACTGCATTTTACGTTGAATTACTAAACGGGATATCACTTTCAAATAGTTGCCACCAAATGTTATCGCTCAGTATTATATTTAAAGAACTTAAATAATGAAGAATTTGCATGAATGAATGTATGTTTCTCGCACTGTGGGGGAAAAAAAATACACCTACAGCCATCAAATTTTAAATATCTCAGTTCTCCACCCGAACACGTGCCCCGGGAAGCCCGAAATTTGAATTAGTTTTATTATTTATGCCATATTCTATGAAACTTAAATGAATTTTAGATCAACAAATTCAATGATTTGAAAGCCAGCAGTGGCAACACTGTACGAAAAAAAAATATTGAGACTGTCCATCGGAAATTATGAAGATATGCTGTTTTTAAATATTTTGTGGTTTTGCAGTTGAATCGAATTTTATGTGGTATTAGCGCCAAGAACGTAATATTTAATAAATAGAGTAAACACACAAGACATTAATATTTTTTTCTTTTCTTTTGTAAAGCCCTCAGTTAGAAAACCAAACATTGATATAATGAATTGAGAAAAGACAGGAAAGAAACAGCAAAATGCATGGCAGCGCTTCATGTTGCTTTGAAAATTCTAAATGCGTACTGCTATGCTGCTTTTAAAATTTTTGTAATTATGCTCTTGAATTTTATATGCATAAATGGGAAGAAAATGACGTTTAATAATAAAGCTAAAAGACATAATAATAATAAAAATAATAAAAGTCTGTAGGAATGATTGTAACAGCAGACTTGTAGACTGTGAGGTCAGTGAGAGCATAAAAAACCTTAACAAACAGTTTTGGGCTACCATATCACTTTTGATGTTCAGTGAAAAAAAGTAGCCATTTAATGCCACGGCCACGCTCTTCTTCACTTTGAAAGAAGTCGCAGATGTGTTAAATTCTATGAGCTATCTAACTGTTTGCAGACAATACAGCTTTCATTTTTTCCTTTTCAGGTGAAAGACTAGCCCAACTGCGTGAATGATGGGGTAAATAATGTATTTGCCCGGGGAATTTAACGACCTCATAAAACGAAAGAAATTTTCCTCTCCTCTTAAACACCCCATTGGGTCTTCACACTTTCCAAAGAAGACATCAGTCTCAAAATTAGGGTTTCTACTCAGTTTTACTTTTCGAAGCAAATAGCAGCCAACAGAAGAAGAAAATCAGAGAAATAGAATTACATATCACAAGAACAAGCAAAGAATTTCTAATAAATAGGCTAATTACTTGAATAACAGTAATACATGCAAGAGATAGCAAATAAATAAATAAAAAGTATTGGTTAACAAAAATACTGGCATTAGAACTTAATTACTGGTTTTTCATTAATTACAATATTACAGCAAATAGTGTTACAAATTAGATAATTTTAAAGTATAGGAATCATCTACATTCCTTGCAAATTACATCTATTTAATGCCATTATTAATTTAACATCTTTCTTTGATCATAACAGTAATAGAATCTGAATTAAACTGGAAAATTTAGTATAGTTATGTGGCATGCAAACGATTATTCATCACAAAAGTATGTTAAAAGTGTGTAGAAATATTTTTTGTTACTTAAAGTAATCATGCAAATGCTTATTACACGTTTGGAGCCCACCAGCGGCCGAGCGGTAAAGTCGCCGAACACTGGTAGTTCGGTCCGAGGTTCAAATCCCGCGAACGGGCTGGCTGCATGGGCGTTTTCGTGGTTTTCCCCATGTGTAACGTGTATACGAGCCAGTTTCCCTTAGAAAGTCCTTCACGAAGGCATCCCTCCCCTTAGGCAGATAGCCCTCGAGGCTTTGCCGTAATTAAATAACCTAACCTAACCTACACGTTTGGAATTATTTATATATAATTATAAATTTTAAATAAATTTAAATCATTATACTAATAAGATTTTCTAAAAGTTATCTAGAAAAGAAGGATAATAAAAACTGCTCTACAAATTAATATGTTTCATAAGAAATTAATAGTAAAGTTAAATAAATAATATTTTTATACAACTGAATTTTCACAGTTTAAAATTTAAATTAGCTTTATATAACAGAGAATATTTGTTGTTCTAAAAATTAATATATCTTCTCTCAATATCTCAGATCCAGTAATTAAGATGGGTTAAATCAATTTAATCCACAACAGACGGATACATTTAGAAAGATATATGTCTTGCATATTGCCGAATAGCAACTGACTCGAATCAAAAGCGAAACGACGCATTTAATAATAATTCCACGAAAAATCCCATTTCGAGACTAACAGCCACTTTGGGCTAAAAACATTTGTAACCAACCATATGGTAAAAGCTATCTATAAAAATAAATCCGTCATTTTTGCTTGACGGCAATAACATGTTGATTTTGAGACATTTCCACGATTACAGAAAATACACTTAGATGAATGTTTTTTTGATAATATCACACTCACGAAAAAGAAAAATCACATCATGGCGGCGACTTCAGGATCTTTCGACAGAGCCTCCAGATGGTGGACTTGTACTCGCCGATGCCCGGAGACGCGAAGAGATTGTACGGAACCTCCAGATTTCGAGGACCCTACAGACCTGCTGGATCTCTGGCTACGATGGTCACTCTTATGGCGATCACTAGTTTTAGGAGCTGAGTAGGTTAACTGTGTTGATGTAAGCCAAGCGTGTTCCAGAGCATCCTCAGCAGTCAATCGATTCTTTGGATCAGTCTGCAGAAGTTGAAGTATGAAAGACTTAGACTCTTCGGATACATCCAACCATATCTGTAAAACATTAAAAAAACATAAATAACAGAAATCATTATATTCTATACTATAAAATACAATAATCATTTATTACTTCCAAATCTGTATACATAAAGAGTAGGCAATATTATACAGTACAATTAATTGGGACAAAGCTATTTTTTAAGAGAATTTTAAGTTGATTGCTAGCAGGCACCAGTAGGTCCCTCAGACTTCTGCCTTAATGTAGTCTGTATGTTTACTTCCGACTACTTAGAACTGGTGGTTTAGGCAAGAAATGAGAATTATTGCACCATTTTTAAGCTTCTTTCTGTGAGAAGAGTAAATTATTTTGCATACTTTTTAAATAAGTTTTGCGTTCGTTCATTTTAGTTTATGAACAATGGATATAATGCACAGAAAGAGAGCAAAAATTAACAGTCACACATCTGTGACTGTAGAAAATATCGGTTCCAGGGTTGGTGTTAGAAAAATGAACGTTTTTTCGATTCTGAGGAGACACGATGAAACTGGAACAGGAAGGGCAAATGTGGTAGAAAAAAGAAAACAACCCAAAATCTAACCGATTCCAACTCCGAAATAGTAATCCAAGTAAAACTAACAAGGACTTTAAAAAGAGATCGGTTATCTGTTGTATTGACGTTAACCCTCTAAATGTGCCGCTTAGACGTCTTGCTGCTGGTCGGAAGGTGAGAAAGGAAATTAAGAAACAACACCTTAGATGAAGCAGAAATTATTATTGTGGGCCAAAAAATACAAATCTTGGATCACTAATAACTGGAAAAAGGTCATTTTCAGCAATGAGACTCATTTATTTCTTAACGGTTACACATCTAATGTTGTTAAGACGAAGCAAGAGTGAATCAACAAGATCTCAGCATATCCGACAAATCATAAAATAATCGACAAAAGCAACATTTTTTTTTTTTTCACTGTATATCGCACTGGAAATCTAGTTCCTATTGATAAAATGATGAATTCCTCCAAGTATATACAAATTGTAATATGTAAGATAGTCATTCTTCAAAACCTTTGCGGGGACATTTCAGCATCCCTTGGCTCCAAGCCACAATTCCAAATCTGTCATAAGTTTCATGTTGGAAAATAAAAATTATTGCGCTAGACGGGCTAAAAATTCGCCAGACTAAAATTCCATCGAAAACTTGTGGAAACTAGTAGAGTCAATGCTTAAGAGCATTCTAGAGGTCATTTCTGCTAAAGGAGCATCTATTAATTTTATTATTATTACTGTAAATAAATGTATATACATAAATTAACAAAAAAAATCGCTTTGTCTCAGTTAACTTGCTTACTATACTAATGAGTTAAAATTAATGTTCAGCGATTTAATGTAATGATTGATTGAAACTATCGTTATGAGCATCCCGATATAATGGAATTTGTGGTGTGCGTTAAAATGAATGCAGTCACATTCAAGTCCTTACAAGGAATTTTCCGTAAAGCAGACTACAAAAGCTATTACATTTCAGATTTAGATTAGTTTCTTTATAATCATGGTCTTAATATAATTAATATATATGTGGCGTTCCGACAGATACTTCAACTTCTATGCATGAGATGGCGCCACGTGTAAAATCCAGTTCTTAATCGGAGCAGCAAAGCGACGTCATTACTCACTCAGATTTCTCGTCTGACAAGTGTACGCGACGCTAGCACGAACTGTGTTCCGAGCTCTGTGTTGATCTCTGCAATGTAATTTAAATTGTAATTTAGTACTTAATATATTCTTTTGTTATAGGAGATTGTCTACTCTTATTTTCTTTAATTATATCATGCATTAAGCACACACGACCACCAAATATATAACAAAAACTTTGCTTAAAAAATAAACAAATAAATGGGTTTATTTATTCCCAACATCCTGGTGTTTACTGTTGCCAAACTGATTTTAATTAACTTAGCAAGAATGAGCACAATGAATACTGCGTTTTCTGTAGCTCAAAAATGTTTTCTATTAAACACTTAATATTTAGTTGAGAAGAAAATGATAACACGTTTGGTTATTTTTAGAATGTACAGTTACAGTGAGACCTTGGATCACGAAAGCTACGTTTCACAAACAAATTATCCGAACGAAAAACGCCTTGGATGACGAAAGATTTCTCGAGTTACGAACTTATGATTTCCAAAGGTATTTTGAGCACAGAGAATTTAAACGCTTTGAAACTTACGGTATTTTTGTTATGTCTGATTTTAAGTGAAACGGAAGCCCAGAGTCCCACACAGAATCGAGTGACGCTTAAATAAAAGAAGGCGTCTCCTAAAGACACTCATCTACCTGATGTTTTTATGGAAGGTAATTTAGCATTCAAATTATTGCATCATCTTAATTATTTTCCACTTATACCGTCCGGTCTCTTTCATACAGTTACATAAAATTATATTTTTCCCCATTTTATCTGTTTAATATTGTGTTTATCTTTTACATTTAATGCCCTTCATTGTTTTGTGTTCACTATTTCATTGTTCACAACTTTGTGTGAACGAATAAATAATTTTACATTGATTCATAAACTTTTTCAGTTGATGAACATTTTCTCTTACAAACGCTTTCAAGAACGAATTAAGTTTGTGAACTGAATTTTCACTACTCTAGGAAAATCTACATATACTGCGCAAAAATTCAGCTTATAAAGAGATATAGAACAGAACTTCATAAAATTTGTACATCACTTGGGGAGAAAAACTTTGTCTATTAACTTTACGAAAGCTTTAAGCAACGGTTAGTCCGAAGGTTTTAAAGCCTGCACCATCTGAAAGGTGTATGACCGGAATTCTAAACGCTTCCGTAACACACGCCACACCATTGCATGAAGCATACTGAGTTCAGAATTCTCACGACGTGTTGATTTGGTGGGACTTCATAAAAATGTTTCATGAATTTTTTTTAATCACTTGGGTTTTGGCTGCTGTTCGTCCTGGACTGGTTTTTATAGTGTCTCGCCCGTGTCCTGAAAGTTCTTTACCGACCGTTCGACGTTTGTGATGATGCGGTGATTCTCTACCAAATTTCATGCGAAAATTTTTTTGACCGACAATGTTTTGGCGTATTCTAAAACAGTACTCTTTCTCCTGTATGGAATGCTATGATTGATTTAACATCTTTCTTTAATAATAATAGTCATGGTGTCTGAACTGGACTGGAAAATTTAATATAGTTGGCCCGCAAACCATTATTTGGTATTAAAATACAGTTCGGGAATAAACATGTTAAAAAATAGTACTTAGTACTTTCAGGAATATTCCGGAATAAACATATTAAATAATTCACACGGACAAATAATCCATAATTTGTTTATATCTGTTTAAAATTACATAGAAATTAGTATTTTAGAAAAATTTACATAGAACTTTCACGAAGTTTTCAATCATAAAAACCAAATTAATTCCTTGGTTATTATTTTCCTATTAAAGGGATTTGCAAAGAGATACGCTAAGGCGAAAATTACCAATGAATAAAACTTTGCAGTAGTTTTTACAATGCATTTTTCCATATTAAAAATATGTAGAGAAAGAAAGAGCTGAGGTATCTATGGGATCTTGAAACTTGGGTCGAACCACTAATGTTTAATGAGTTTACCGCTTGATCGCAAGACCTCTTGAAGTTAGACTGATGAGATGTTATGTGTTGAAAAATATATTAAAGTAAATAGAAGATACAGTACTAGTAAACACAAAAGTGTGCTGAATTATAAATTTACATATTTGGTAAATTAGTTAAACTTATCTGTATGCCATTATGGTTTGGTTTATTTAACTATGGCAAAGCACACTAGGGTTATCTGCCTAAGAAAAGGGATGCCTTTGTGGAGGACTTTCTAAGGGAAACTGGCTTGTATACATGTTACACATGGGGAAAACCACGAAAACGCACATGCAGCCAGCCTGTTCGCGGGATTCGAACCTCGGATCGAACTACCAGTGTTCAGCGTCTTTACCGCTCGGCCGCTACACTCATCGTCGGACAAGAGTTCTTAAAATTCCGAATTAATTTGCTGCTGAAAAATAATCTGATTTCTTCACACAAGACGAACAGTTGAATCAGTATTTTTCCCCTCGAAAATCATCTCACCTCAGTGTGAAAAAGGTGACTATATTGGGAACCCATTTCTTCACAGTGTTTCAAATATTCGAGAATTAAGCGCTTGTGTCGAATTTCATTGATGTTGTTAATAACATTTGGACATTTTTTCACCACAAGGTGCTCACGATATATAATGCAGTTTGCAGACAGAAAGTCTGGATGGCTAAACTTTTTCACCTTTACAACAACTCCTTAGCGATGTCCAGTCATGTCTGGAGCCCCATCTGTACATATTCCAATACATTTCTTCCATTCAATTCAGTGTTCCAGGAAAAAAATTATCAAGTGCTTTAAAAATCTCAAGCTTGATGTTCTACCCGGTAAGGTGAGCAAGCAAAGTAGTTCTTCCTGTAATTATCCTTCACACTCAACCCTCACAAAACAAAGGAGAATTACCTTGTTACTTACGTCCGTAGATTCATCACGATTCATTCTTACGTCCGTCTGAATTGAACAAAATGGTGAAATTCAATCATTTTTATAACTTGATTTCCAGTATCTTCAGTCATTTCTTCAGTTCTGCGCTTAACAGTGTTAGTAGACTTATTACTTTCAGTTTCTGCACAGCTTTTCTTTCCCAAAACCTCTTCTAAGGCTTGCAACATGGCTTGAGTAATTCTTCTCCAATCGTATATGGATTTTTGTCTTTCTCTATTTGAAGTGCTATGAGATAGTAAGCCTTTAATAGGGACTTATTTTAAACACCCTAATTTTTAAGGCATGTACTTGTTTGTACAAATTTTCACGCAGTCTTCGAAAATATTCAAGTTGATCGATCTTCTTACCGGACACAGTCTGCAGAGTAACGCAGGGCGGCGTCAAGATAATTTTGCTTCCCAGTTGTTGAGCCAAATCTTTTCGGATGATGGCAACGTTGCCTCCTGTATCTATCATCATATTGCAGGGATCTCCA